TTTTCCACTTAGTTTTTTTCGCACTTCTATTACGCAAGATTATCTATACTTTGCATAACTTATACCTGATATTTTGTAGAACTTGAAATATTTGTGATGTATAAATCTATATATGTATTTCTTTCATGTTACAGTTCGCATAATTATGTGGCTTTTGTCTATGATTGCACATGCAATTATGTGGATTTTGCCTATGAAATAATAATAATAATAATAATAATAATAATAATAATAATAATAATAATAATAATAATAATAATAATAATGGTATAAATAGTAATAATAATAATAATAATAATAATAATAATAATTGAAATAATAATTATAAGGATAAAAGAAAGAAAATCGGTAATGTATAAAAAGTATCAAGTATCCTTTATAAGTGGATGTGGCATACCCGACCTAATGGTAAAGAGATTGACATGGTACACAGTAGACGCGAGTTTGATAGCTAAATTAATCATTTTCTTAGTTCTCTAGCTAATCCGTCTGTACTTACCGACGGATTCTGCTTCCGTAGCTATTCCGTCACAATCTTGTCAGTAAATTAGGGCATTTTTTTCCGTCGCTATTTTTGGACGGAAAAATTCCGTAGGTGATTTTTGTAGGTATTTTGAGATTTTCTAGTAGTGATCTTAACCAAAATCCAATTTTCCAAAATACATTTTAAAAAAATATCCAATTTATCTAAAACTAAATGTGATTTGGATTGATCAATTTTTAGTCCAAACCTAAACTTTTTTGGTTTCATGGTCTTTTTAGGCTAGTTTCATTGTAGAATTGGTCCCGGATAAACTTGAAAAGACTAATTTGCCCTTTTAATTTGATTTTTCATTGAATTAAATGTTTTGTTCTTTTATTTAATTATAAATGTTCAATTAAATTAAGAAGGGGACCTCTCTCTCTCTCTCTCTCTCTCTCTCTCTCTCTCTCTCTCTCTCTCTCTCTCTCTCTCAGGTGCTTCTAGTGACAAACCTAGCTGCTTACCTCTCCCTCATCTTCTTCCCCTCTGCTTACCTCTCCTTCATCAAGAATAAAAACTTTGTATTCGGTTGTTTTTAGGGCATTGGAATCATCTCGAAAAAAAGGGAAAGGATGACTTGTGTTTTTGTTTAGAGGGGTTCTTCTGCTGCCGGGCCTTCTTCATCATCTAATAATACAAACAGGTTGAGTTCTTCGTGTTTATCGTGTCCACCTTAGGCTCAGGTTACAGGGAACGACGTCTAAGAACAAGTTCTTTCTAAAGATCTTCCTGTAGAAACTGTTGAAATTGATCGAAACGAGGGTCTTGATGTACCCACTACTGATAAAAGCAAAGATGAAAGCCACATCTACCTCCACCACCTGCTCCTCCTACACTCCCCCAAAACCATCTTCAACAGGGTCTAATTCCCAACGATTTACGCCTGGTAATTATGCCGCTTTACGAATTGGTTCATCTAGAAGAGCCACTGCTTGGCCATTTGTTTCCACCGAATCAAGAAAAACTTTCTCGTTCGTAGGCACCAGGCGAGAGGTGACGTTTGGTTTATCTATGCGCATGATCGATGAGATGATGATTCTGTTGTTTGGTGCGTCTGCTTTCCTTCTCACGTTCAGATAATCAGATCACAAAACAAAATATGGACTAAGTTTTTGTAACCGTGGTTCCCACATGCGATAACCTAATGTATACAATAATCATACAAATAAAACTGCACGTTCACTTTATCCGTCGTGGAATTTGACTAACATATTCTAATTAGAAAAGTCAATATAAAGTGTTGACTACATATTTCATTAACATCATGCCCTTTACCAACAACACCATCACCACTATCTATTGTTGGTGGAAAAAAGAGCGAACCACGGTCCCACCACCACCATCACCACTTTTTGTTCCAATCACCATATAATACACATCATTTTCATCGATTTGCTATAGTGGGTTCAAGTTGTGTTGGGTGGATTTTGCGATATTAATATGAGATGATTCTCAGGAGATATGATCCTAAAGGTAAAGTAGATAACATTTTGCTTTCAGGACTTTCATTTTTAATCATGTGGATACCATTCCTTTTATGATGTTGCAATTTTGTGGTATGTGTTACTTCTCTTTTGACATCATGAGCTTTTTTTAGGTTAAGAAGAGAAAAATCAGAGCCATTCAAATCTCAATCCATTGACACAAAGGAACTCAGGTTTTAAGCTTAATTTTCCTCTCATACGGATTTTTTTATAATCAGATTGTTGATCTAACTGTGCTGCTGACACATCAACACATTAAAACCTTTTATATTGTTAGTCTTTGTTAATACATAGAATGTTGGATGGGAACTTTCACCAGAATCCCAAATGAGTACAAACAAACAAATAGTTAGATATTATCAAAAGGTAAAAAAAACCTTTTTTGCTAATTGTGGATAACGACTTAGAATGTGTGGTTTAGTGGTTGTATAGTGTTAGTGTAAGGTCTTCGTTTTCCTCTTAACGAAAGCTTCCTGTAAAGAAAAGATTAGCAGCAAACGATGTGGCTGAGGCTCGAGTTGGACCCGATTCCCTTAAACAGATTCGCCGTCTGTTCCCAGGGTACAACAACCTTAACAGTATTGTGTATTGCCGGATATTACCACTTGCCTGAAAGAATCGCCGGAAACAGGAGTACAAAGAAGGAGGAATATTCGTGTGTTTAGCGTTTAATGCTAATAAATGTCATTAATTACGCAATTAATGTATCCGTTACAGAATTCAAAAATAGGGACCAAAACTGTCAAGTTTAGCAAAAACGAGGGTAGCGCGCGAGTTTTCGGAGCTGCATTCATGCCCATGCACGAGTTCGGTGTTTTTGGTCTACGAAATCCAAAATTTGCACCCAATGTATAAAACCATAGAGTTTGATTTATATATGTCAAAATGATTTTATTGTTTACGTGCCATTTTTGTTTTGTTCCTAAAAACCTGAAGTTAACCCAAGAGAAACAGCATAAAGGTTTCCTTCTTGGAGCCATGGAGGAGTCTAATAAATGCAATAAATAACACATATTTTCTCTAATTCTATGACTTTTATCATGCTCAATGCTAATAAATATGAACATTATAAATCCCGTTTATCCTTATTTATGTCATTCTTGCAAATCACAATTTTTATTTGGTTTCATAGCTTTATGATTAGAACATGAAATGAACTTATTATGAGTTGTGATTGTGACAGGTTCACTACCAAATCAAAACCGCAACAGATCGGGGTGGTTGTGATTCGTTTCAAGAGGTCAGCTTTTCTATTTGTTTTTTGAAACCAATGTCACCATTGCAACCGATTTGGAATTGGGAAACCTCCTTTCTTGATAAAATTGCAAAAAAAAAAAAAAACAATCATTAACGATGATTTTCTTTGATTAGGAAAAAACATTAATGGATTTTTCAGAAGAAAAAAAAAATTGCAACAGTTTTGTTGCCATTTTCCTTATTTATATTCATATACTATTGATCTTATAGGTTTATTCTTTCTTGCAGTGGTTCAGGGCGTTTTGAATATATTCATGCAAGTCCCATGCAAATGATGAAAGAGGGTCCTCTGGATTACGAAAATTCATATAAAAGGTGATTCACCATCGAGTTCGATTTATATTTATCTAATGATTTTATGTTAGGAGTTGAAGTCGGTCTTTTGATGAGAGCTAAGTTTCATAATCAACTAAATTACAACATTTTTCTATTGTTATAATCCATAATCCATATATATCCTAATTAGTTAATTATTAAAAATAACTTGAGCCTAGGTGGCTTGAATGAAAACAAAGTCTAGATGCCAACCAGACAAAAAAGGTTTGCGTTGGGTAGAGTACGAAATAAATTTACATGTAGATATAAAATCTTTACATATTTTGACTTCAATAAGTTTGTTTACTGAAAAAATATATATATATATAAAAAGGAATTGAACTCCAGTAGCTTGAAAATCCCTATTTTGAAATTTACCTTGTTTTTTCTTCGTTAATTTAAATCACAGTCTTGTCTCACATAAATTGCTTTATAGGAGCACAATAGTTTTATGTTCAAGTTTATGTGAACAATTTAAAAAAATATATATCACTTGCACTTCTAAATCTCTCAATAAAAAGAATATATAAGGTTTTCACATATAAAAAAATGCAAATGTATTTAGATCCGATTAGTGTATTTATTAGTTATTCTACAAACCTCGACATTATTTTATTTAACTTTTTGCTAGCTTTAACTCAAATAAGGCTATATATTAGTGTTATTTAACCATTATGTATTGGGTAGGGATGAGCATATGGACCGGGGAACCGGCCGGAACCGGTACCGGAACCGGAACCGGCACCGGCACCGGAACCCGATGGAACCGGTCAGGCCGGGACCGGGACGTTATTTTTGTGGATTTTTGGAACCGGGAACCGGTACGAACCGGAACCGATATAACCGGAACTGGTAGAACCGGCAAAAACCGGAACCGTATGATACGATTTTTCGAGGACCGGTTCCAACATTTGAAGACACGACAAGAACCGGTAGGAACCGGGAACCGGTAGAACCGTCGGGCCTGTTCGGTTCTTGATTTTGGCCGAAGCCGGTTCTCGGGTCGGGTCCTGTTCAGGCCGGTTCGGTCCTTTTGCTCATCCCTAGTATTGGGTTTTTGTCATAGAGACTCATCTAACTTTTACTTTAGGTTTTAAAAGACCAATATTGTTTTTTTGGTCTTTATGGACCCTCAAACTCGAAAATTACCTGTCTCTCATACCCTTATTGATTTCATAATTTATTTAGCCGGTTAAAAAGGTGATGTGGCCGTTGACTTAGGTGGTCAATTAGTAATTGTGCCAAATGTGTAATTTCAGAGTGGAAAAAACTTGTAAATAATCTTAATTCATTTTCCATAGTCGTTTTATAAGAAGAGGAATGGAGATTTGAACTAGGGTTTTTAACCATCGTATCTACTACTGAGATTACAACTCTGCTGTCAAAGGTATTCTACTCTTTGAAGATTGTTTCAGTGTTGCATGGCTGAGAACGATAACGAAGCTTTATATCTGAGAGTTCATCTACACTACAATGGTGTATTTGTTCGACATCCTTCTGGGTATGTTGGTGGGAATAAGTTCCTCTTCACTGATGTTGATTGGGCAGGTATGGATGTAAGGGACTTTTTTTATTTTATTGATAGAGCTATCGGGGAACAGTTTCAAAACGTTTACTACTACTTACCTAACATGCCTTTATCTAGAGGGATTCGTCCCATTGTAGATGATTTGGATTTTGCCCAGTTTATAGATAGCGGGTATGAATACGGGGAAATTTCAATTTATGTTGATCGTAATGGGAATGGGTTGGAAGAATGGTGGGATGATGACATGAATCTGGTTGTTAGTGAAGATAATGAAAGTGGCCTTGAAGATGATGGTGTACCTAGAAAAGAAGAAAATACTGCCCCTGATGAAACCCATCCCAATGTAGGTCTTGAAGATGAAGTAATTGACATTGACAAAGTACCTTTGAACAAGACGACTGCGGATGAGTTTCTTAGTAAGTTATGTCCTCGAGAAGGTGATACTGGTGACAATGAAGTTGAAGAAGAAGATGTTGAGATCCATTCCATTTTCAACCCTGATATGCAATGGAAGAGGCAAGTACCTGTTCTTGGGATGAAATTTGAAAGTCCAAAGCAGCTGAAAAATATGTTATGTAACTATGTTGTGGCAAATAGATACCAACTATGCTTCAAGAAGAATGATAGTAAAAGGTTGTTGGTGGTGTGTTGCAAAGGAGCTTGCCCATTAAGGTTATGGGCTACATGGATGAGGCAGGAGGTGTCATTTCAAATCAAGTCATTGAAGATTGAGCATAATTATGCTAGAAACTACAAACTAGGATCAATTGTCACATACTCTTGGATAGGAGAGCATTATACAAAGGAAATTTTTCATAGACAAAAGTTAACAATTAGACAATTCAGATTGGAGATCATAAGGAAGTTTGGAATACAGGTTAGTTTAAGTCAATGTAGAAGAGCAAAGGCACATGCCATGAATCTTATCGAGGGGACTCTTATTGAGCATTATGCAAAATTGTGGTCTTATGGGGAGGAAATTAGAAGAAGCAATCCAGGTTCAACAGTCAAAATGGATGTCCAATGCATGCCTAATGGTTTGACTTACTTCAGTAAGTTCTATGTATGTTTTGATAATGTGAAATTTGGTTGGTTAGAAGGTTGTAGAAAGGTGTTAGGTATAGATGGATTTTCCTCAAGGGTGTATGCAATGGGGAATTATTGTGTGTTGTGGGTAGAGATGCTAACAACCACATATTTCCAGTTGCATGGGCAATAGTGTGTGTTGAGAATAAGGAAAACTGGATGTGGTTTCTGGAGTTGCTCAGAGATGATCTTGAACTAGGTATGGGCACTGGGTTTACCTTAATGTATGACCAACACAAGGGTCTTATAGAGGCAGTTAAGGATGTGCTTCCTTGTCTTGAGCACCGACAATGTGCAAGGTACATTGTTGCAAATTTTAAGAAGAGGTTTGCAGGGGCTATTTTTGAGAACCTTTTTTGGAAGGCTTGCAATGCAACAACACCACAATCTTTCAATGAATTCATGCAAAAATTGAAAGATTAAGTCTCGAAGCCCATAAGTACTTGATGGAGAAGGAACCAAAGACCTGGTCAAGAGCATTTTATGAGGTAGGGAGGGCATGTGCTGCAGTGGAGAATGGTATTTCTGAGAGCTTTAATGCAGTAACTGTTGAGGCCAGAAGGAAACCAATAATCACTATGTTGGAGGAGTTGAGGTTATATATCATGGAGAGGATGTTTAACTTAAAACACAAGAAATGGAGAAAGGATGTAATTCCTACAATAAGGCAGTTACTAAATGGTTTAAAGATTGAAGCTAGGTACTGGCAAGTGCTCCCAAGTGGACTAAACAAGTTTGAGACAAGAAATGAAGGTCAAGCTTATAATGTGGATCTTGACAAAAGGACATGTTCTTGTAGGTTATGGCAACTAAATGGATATGGGTGTGCCCATTCAGTCGCTACAATCTTATTTCTGAATATGGATGTGGACACATATGTGGATCCTATTTTCTGCAGAGCAAACTACAATAAAACATACTTGAATAATATCTTGCCTATGAATGGTAGTAACATGTGGCCAGAGACATCATTCACCCCACCCTTACCACCCCAAAGAAGAAGGATGCCTGGAAGACCAGCAACAAAAAGTAAGAGAGATGTGACAGAGAAAATAGGGAAGCATAAGGTATCAAAGAAGGATAAACCTATTGTATGCAGTGCTTGTCATATGCCTTGCCATTACAAGGTGACTTGCCCCATAACAAATAAGCCAGTTAAGCTCAGGGTGAAAAGACCAAAGATAACCAAGACTACACAGGTATATTGAAATGTTGTCATTTTAGCAAAGAAAATTTGTAAATCTTAAATATTGACATGTTACCTTGTACATGAATCTGTAGTTGAAGGTTCGGTGAATGGTGGTGTAGTAGGTGTGCAAGGATCAGTTAACAGAGTTGTAGGTGGTGTACATGGAGGTGAAGGCGGTGTGCATGGTGGTGAAGGTGGTGGAGTGCATGGTGTTCGAAAGAAAAATGTATTTTGAAACTGTACAAGTAGGGATGAGCAAAAGGACCGAACCGGCCCGAACCGGACCCGACCCAAGAACTGGCTTCGGCCAAAATCAAGAACCGAACCGGCCCGGCGGTTCTACCGGTTCTTGTCGTGTCTTCAAATGTTGGAACCGGTCCTCGAAAAATAGTATCATACGGTTCCGATTTTTGCCGGTTCTACCGGTTTTTGCCGGTTCTACCGATTCCGGTTCCTACCGGTTCCAAAAATCCACAAAAATAACGTCCCGGTCCCGGCCCGACCGGTTCCATCGGGTTCCGGTTCCGGTGCCGGTTCCGGTTCCGGTACCGGTTCCGGCCGGTTCCCCGGTCCATATGCTCATCCCTATGTACAAGTATACCCCTAATAATATTTTTTGTATTATTAATGGAAGGGTAATATGGTAATTTTATTATTTAATGGAAGGGTAATATGGTAATTTTATTATTTGAAACTGTACAAGGATACCCCTAATACTGTTTTAAGTATTTTGAATGGAAGGGTAATATGGTAATTTTCTTATTTACAGGTGAAAGCAAGAGGAGTGGGGTTACAGTTAGAACAAGAAAGCCTTCTGAGAGAATTTTGAAAACCAAACTTACAAAAGTAGTGTATGGGAAAAATGATGAAGGAAGCTCAAGAACAAATGCAGTGGATATAGATTAGGATTTGTCTCTTTACACATGTGTCATGTTTTGAACCTTTATGTTATGTAATAGTTTATGTTGTTGCTGCATGGGGAACATTTGTGTCTTTTGAACCTTTACTTAACTTCACATGGATCCCCTAATTCTGTCATTTGAACCCTATGTAATTTGTCTTTATGACTTATTGTTCTAATATCACATGTGACGGTACCCAACTATTTTATCAGTATTCAATCATTGAGTTGGTCCACAAATGTACACTCCTCCCAAAAATTTGTCATTTTAATCCGGATGTTGATCCCATGTGTGGTCCTCATTTGAATACAATACCCAATGCCTTTTACCTGTATTGGTCCACAAACTCAATCACTTTCACTTGTATGTTGTACCCATGTGATATGCATTATATTCAATTGTTTTGGTCCACAATAACCAATGCCTTTTATCAGTATTCAATTGCACTTAACAAGACCATTCAGTGGAACAAAAGTATAGTAAAATAAAGATGCTTGTTTCCATTAGCTACAAAAGTACATGGGGCATACAAAAGTTGATTAAATTACAGGGTCATTTACCAGACAAGGGCATTTACATCCATACATATACTAATCTATATCCTACCCACCAAAAACCACCAAAAACCATAGAAGATCTCCATATCCCCAACCCAAAGTTTACAAAAAGGGAGAGCATGTATGTCACACCCCCAAATCGGAACAGCGGAAACGTTCGGGGGTGGATGACGTCATATGTAGTATCACAACCATTGCATCATAGTAATCATAGTAAACACAACCATTACATTGAATATATATAAAACAATAATTATATTTGTTTGATTATTGACTTTATACATCAAAAGTATAATCAAAAGAAAAAGACGTGACTCTATACGCTCCATCTTCTCAAAACTCCAGAAGTACCTGTCTACTGATTTCCTGAGAATACAAGCAGTTTTGAAAGAGTATCAGCATAAAGCTGGTGAGTTCATAAGCGATGTTTTTGTAATGAAGATCTGTCATTTAATCCTGTAAAAATATTTATATGCTTTCCCAGAAAATCCAATATTTTCTAACACATATGTTCGTTACTGTGTTCAGTAGCAATGTATGATGTATTAGTTCACATGTCTGGTTATCACCAACTGTATTGTATGTGTGTATTCTGTACAAAACCCTTGCATAGTATGTTCTGTTTGACAGCTCTGGCTACCACTAGTATGTATAGTACGTTCTGTTTGAAAACCTGGCTACCACCAGTATGTATGGTACGTTCTGTTTGAAAACCTGGCTACCACCAGTATGTATGGTATGTTCTGTTTGAAAACACTGGCTACCACCAGTATGTATAGTAGTTTCATTACTTAAAATAAAACTAATGAAGAATGAAATCCCGTAAACAAATGGTTAGTTTATACTATTATGAGTCGTATAACCATGCCTGATATGACTGATGACCTCAGCGACGTTCTTCAGGCGTCGTTCGGTATGATATTTGTCACCCCAGGCATGCCTGCCTAACTATAACTACCAGTTTAGGTGTGGGATTGTCAGTCCCGAATAGATCTATTCACAAATCTCACGCTCCCCCTCCAGGAGACTCTGGTTACACTAAACGTTGAGGATTTTACCAGTACCCAGAAGGATACAAATGAAGAGTGGTCTCATAATCCTGTATGAACTAGTTTACATGTGGTTCTGTAGTGATCTACTGTATTGAACTCTGTGTGTATACTATATAAGGTAATAATTATACTTAAATAATTATTAAATGTTGTTCTCTTGTAGTAATGTATGTCATAAACTAAATCTGTCATAGTTTATGTGGTTACCCATGTATGTAATCTGAATCGGTAAAAGCTATGTAATGAATTCCCCAAACTATACCTATTATAGTTTGACTGAAAAGTTATGTACTTGGTTTGTAAGATGTTCTGAAAACTATGCAATTATATTTCCAAATTGAAAGTGTCCCTTATGCTCAACATAGTACAAAAGGGATAAAATATCTAAATATTTTATAAAACGTGGAAATAGTTTAACTGTATTAATTGCATACGTTTTAAACTTGTTGAAATCCCTTTGTTTTGATTCACAAAAATCATTTGTGTTTGGCTTGTATCCCCCCCCTGAAAACATTAAAAAATTATAAAAGCGTAGGGGTATGAACTCACTGTTAGCTGTGTACAAGCGTTGAATCAACGGACTGAAATGAGGACCCTCGAGTTGTAGTGTGGCACTTAACGGAATCCTAATAACAATTAAATACATATATATATCTAAATTAGCGATTTTGTTAGATAAAGTGTTACAAAAACACTTGCTTTCGGTTAAGGAATGTTACCGGGACTTGCTTGAATCGAGGAAAATGAGTTTTCAGTCTAAAGCACCACTTAGGAAGTGTGTACGGACGTGAATGGGGTGTACGACCGTGAACAGGTGTACGGCCGTAAACAACCTCTTGAAGGGTGTACGGCCTTTGAAGGTTTGAAGTGTGTACGGCTATGAACTGGTGTACGGTCAATGAAGACTTGAAGACTTGAAGGGTGTACGGCCGTACACTCAAGAACAAAGGTGCTGGAATCATTGAAAAAAGTGTTCTAGATGCTCCGAAATGACCCCCAATAGTGATTCTCGATGTTTCCCGGAAGAATAAGGGTGTTTTAGGGGTGTACGGTCAAGATTTTTAGAGAGAGAAAGAGTGAGTGTTCGGCCAGAAAAGTGTACATGTGGGGTAGGGTCCCGTATTTATAGGGGTTGTCGTTGGTCGGTGGTGGGTTCCACCCAACACTGGCCGTAAACGAGTGTACGGCCGTACAAGGGTTTACGGCCGTAAACTCAGTCAGGCCGAAAACTGTTTGATTTTTCAAGAAGGTTCGATCTCATCGAGGGGTATCACAAGTGTCTCATCGGACAGAGACTTCTTTAGGTTCGACACGTGGAAGACGGGATGTACGTTGCTAAGTTCTCGGGGTAGGCGGAGTTTGTATGCTACGGCACCGATCCTATCGAGGATCTCGAATGGTCCAATGTATCTTGGATTCAGCTTTCCACGCTTTCCGAAGCGTATCATGCCTTTCCAGGGTGAGACCTTCAAAAGAACACGGTCACCAACCTGGAAGTCCAAGGGTTTTCGTCTCTTATCGGCGTAGTTGTTTTGTCTATCTCTTGAGGCCTTTAGTCATTCCTGGATTTGTACGATCTTTTCAGTAGTCTCTCGGATGATTTCTGGGCCTGTGAGAGTACTATCGGGGACTTGACCCTTGACTAGCTGTGTGTCGCCCACCTCAGCCCAGCACAGAGGGCATCTGCACTTACGGCCATAGAGGGCTTTGAACGGCGCAGCCTTGATGCTGGTATGGTAGCTGTTGTTGTAGGAAAATTCGACCAAGGGCAAATGAGTGTCCCACGACATGCCAAAGTCGATGACACAGGCCCTCAACATATCTTCCAATGTTTGAATGGTTCTCTCACTCTGCCCATCTGTCTGAGGATGGTAAGCTGTGCTCATATCCAACTTAGTTCCAAGAGCCTTCTGTAGTAACTGCCAAAATCTCGAGGTAAACCTGCTATCTCGATCGGAGATAATGGATACAGGCACACCATGAAGGCGGACTATCTCTCCAATGTAGATTCATGTCAGTCTCTCCATTTTGAAGTTTTCTTTGATTGGCAAGAAGTCGGCGGATTTAGTTAGTCGATCGACAATTACCCAGATGGCGTCGTGCCCACTCGGAGACTTGGGCAACTTAGTGATGAAATCCATAGTAATCCTTTCCCACTTCCACTCAGGTATTTCCGGCTGTTGAAGTAGAGCTGAGGGCTTTTGATATTCCACCTTCACCTTGGCGCAAGTCAGGCATTTTCCCACGAAGATGGCGATCTCTGCTTTCATGTTCGGCCACCAATAGAGTTGTTTGAGATCCAGATACATCTTATCTGAACCTGGGTGAACGGAGTATCTAGTCTTGTGAGCTTCGTTCATGACAACTTCCCTGTAACCATTGTACTTCGGGGTCCAGATCTGGTTCATAAAATAGTAAACTCCTTCTCCCTTGACCTCTACGTTCTTTTCCATTCCTCTCAAGTCTTCATCCGACATGTTCTCTGGTTTTAAGGCTTCCAACTGAGCCTCTCTGATTTGAGCGAATAGATGGGAATGGATGGTCATTGTCAGTGCCTTCACTCTACGACCTGAATACTCTTTCCGGCTGAGGGCATTCGCTACCACATTGTCCTTGTCGGGATGATAGTATATTTTGCACTCATAATCACTGAGTAGCTCTACCCATCGTCGTTGCCTCATGTTCAACTCTTTCTGATCGAAGATATGTTGTAGGCTCTTATGGTCGGTGAAAACAGTGCACTTGGTTCCGTAGAGATAATGTCTCCTAATATTTAACGCAAAGACCACTGCTCCTATCTCTAGATCGTGAGTTGTACAATTGACTTCATGTGTTTTCAGCTGTCTCGAGGCATATGCAATAACCTTTCCTCGTTGCATGAGCACACAGCCTAGGCCCTGATTGGATGCATCACAGTAGACAACGAAATCCTCCGTCCCTTCAGGCAGGGACAATATAGGCGCACTGCATAGGGCCTGCTTCAATGTTGGAAACACAGTGTCTTGCTTTTCTCCCCAACAAAAGGGTACACCCTTTTGAGTCAGGGTAGTTAAAGGCTTAGCAATTCTGGAGAAATTTTGGATAAATCTGCGATAGTAACCAGCGAGACCCAAGAATTGACGGATTTCTATGGGCGTCTTCGGTGCTGACCAATTCTCAATCGCTTTGATCTTCAAAGGGTCCACGTGTATGCCTTACTCGCTAACCACGTGACCAAGGAATGTTACTTTTCTGATCCAGAATTCGCACTTAAAAAATTTTGCATAGAGCTTCTCCGTCCTTAGTGTTTCTAGCACTAGCCTCAAGTGTTGTCTATGATCTTCCTCGCTCCGAGAATAGACAAGTATATCATCAATGAACACGATTACGAACTTGTCTAGGAAAGGGCGGCACAC